GAGTTTTATGGATCGAAATAATTTTATAGATTGATGGTATGAATGTGAGATAATGATTAATATTTTAATTAAGGCTTGCTCGGGGCTCGGTGGGTTCTCTCGCGAGACTGGAATGTTGGTAACGATCGAGGAACAGTCATTACAGGGTCCTTTGAATCTTTGTAGATTCTTGCTACCACAAACAAAATCTCACATTACATTTGATTTACAGAGCATGCATTTCAAGTAAAATGACAAATCCTTTTACCATCCTTGTCTCGGGTTCACTAGGCCGAACCTTCACTTTCTCTTTTCTTCTTTCTCCTCTCTCCCTTTCTTTGTTCCTTTCTCCTTTCTTTCTTTCTTCCTTTCTTCCTTTGCTTCCTAACCGAATCTCTCTTTTTCTTTCTCAAAGGTTTGATTTTCTCAAGACAAAGCCATTTGGTTGGCTATTTCTTTATTGTGGGCGGACATCACAAGGTTAACTTGTGAAAGCTTTCTTTTTCTTCTCTCATGGGCAGATTGCCCAAAGCTTGGTGACTTTTGGCATATTTCTTTCACCTTTTATGTGGTTAAAATCATAAAACAAAAACACTTTGAAACCTTTCCACCGTCACTCTCATTTTCTTTTCTTTTCTCTTTACATGTCATGCCAATCAATTCTTCTCTTTGTTATTAACGCCACCTCTCATTGGTGGCTTGTTCATGCAATGTTTCCTTATCCTATCCTTTATCCTTTGGTTAGATTGCCTTATCCATGTATTGGTCCACATGGTGTTCTCGTTTGATTTATTTCACTTGCATTTCATTCCACAATTATTTCTATGCATTTCATTTTCATTTCCTTTTAATGCCACTTTATCACCCAATAACATTTCATGCTATGATTATACCTTTTTCTTTTCAAATCACATTACCATCCTTATGTTGTTTACTATAGGCTATCTTTTACAAACCATGGTTTTCTCCCATTTAAAAACTTTTTATTCTTTTTTCTCTTTAACAACTTTCACGTGGTGAGGTCTCACATGTTTCCCACTAGCTTTCTTCTTTTTGCATTCAATAATTTTCATGTAATAGTAACTTTCAGATGTATATCTCATATTTCTCACAATCTAACCTTCCTTGGTTAGGAAATTCTCCTTTTTTAGCATCAAATTTTGAAATTACAAATGAGTCCTCAAACTTTTTCTTATTTATCATGTGACCATCCAAACTTTCATGCTTTATAATTTAGTCCTTCTAGCACTTCTTAAATTTTAATTTTCTCCTATTTTCCTTCCTTTACATGTGTACAAATATAATATAAGATTTGTACTTCATCAAGGCATCACCATAATATTTAAATATATATTTACTCATGTTAGCTCTATTTAATAAGGACACACGGGCCCTATCAATGTCGTTTTTCTTCAAAATCCTTTCTTACTTTGTCTCCCCTCACTTCGATTAGTCATATAATCCTCTTTTATGACTAATTTCAATAATAAAAAAATATTAGTATTTTAATATTATTTTATTTTAAATTTTTTCACTTGTCTCTATTAGTCACCATATTTGAGTATGGGGTGTTACAAAGGAAGGGTAAAGAGAAGTGGACAATGCAAAAGTACTTATAGTGTTAGGTCCCCTTGACATACATCCACTACTTTGATCTCTCAGTAAAGGATTTTCAACCTAACTTCACTAAACCAATAGAATTAAAAGCTTCCATCAAGGTTTTATAACGTGAGCTTCTAGCTAAGCTTTAATCCCTTATAACAAGCTTTAGAGTGCTTTTCACACACTAATTTCTCAAAAAAAAAGATAAAAAAGAAGTACAACTAAGTACCTTTATAAGTTTGAATAGACTACAATCAAGCTCAAACAACTTTTCTAAATTTGGAATGAAGAACATGTGTTTTTTAGTAAAGAATATTTGGCTTTTTGCTCAAATTAACTTTTTTTCTGTTCAAATCTCACTTCTTTGATCATTGAAGCTTCCTTTTATATTTTGGGAGTTAGATTTTTTTGTTAGAGATAGTTTCTATCTGTTAGAAACAACTCTAATGCACTTCTAGGTGTTATTTTACCCTCTAGTATTTAAATTCAAGAAAAAACACAAATTTCGAGTAACCAGTTACCAGCAACTCTAATCGATTACAACTTCTTTGTCTTGCACTATCCTACGGTTGTATTCTCTACTCTAACTAATTACAAGAGGCTCTAATCGATTAAGTGTTCTCTATCTTTAGACTTCTCTTCTTCAGCAAACTTCCTTTAACTGGTTACGGTAGTCTTTAACTGATTACAAACTTTTCGTTTTCACTTTTCTACACAGCAGTCTTCCTCTAATTGATCAGCATTTCCCTTAACTAATTGAAGCTTTACTTCAATCAACCAAAACTAATTAAAATCACTTTTAATCAACTAGAAGATCTTCGAATTTTGAATTTCTCCATTTTGGCTCCCTTCAACGGTTAATAATATTGTGTACTTGTTTTTTACGCTTAAAAATACTAGGACCTCATGCTCTAATTGATTAACCAGACCTTTTAACTGATTAGCATATTTCTATTTTGCTTTATCTTATTACATAGCCATGTCTTAGTTGATTAAGATCCCTTGATAATCAGTTACTAGGATTATGTTTTTTTTCATTATTTGCTATTTCCTTCTTAACTGATTAACTTTTCATTAAACTTAATAAGCTCCTTCACTTGCTTTGAATTAACAGCTTTGTTAGGGTTATAAGATTAAATTCTGCACACTTAAATAATAAAATTAGACATTAATGAGTAAGGAATGTTTTGTTATTATCAAAAACATATGGAGTCAATAATCAATGTCTTAACTAGGGAGATCATAATGACTTTAATCCCAAATTAAGAATTTGTGAAGATTTATTAGAGCTAGTAATTTGTGTTAATGGGTGTAATCATATCATGCAAAGCTAAGGATACAACACATAAATGAGTTGATACAAATATGTCATGATTAATTTATCGTGTCAAAATTCGTGTTAGCGGGTGTCAAGAATTTTGACATGAACATAACACAGTTATTACACGAGTTAAACTACATACATAGTTAATGCATATAAATTAGACTAGCATGCTCAGACAACATACAGTTAACCAATTAATACAAGATTAATCTTTTCATAAACGAATAATTTGCTTTATGTGTTTTAAATATTAATAATTTAATAAATGAGTTTAAGTAGATTATATATTTGAGTAATGTGGATTAAATTGTTAATATATGATTAATTAAACATGCATAAACATGTCATATATGGGGTAGATGGGTCAATTTGTATAAGAGACAAATATTTTTATGTCATAAATTGATTGATATAATTATGACAGAAACATGATTATACATAACCCAAACCTACTTAGCTCTATGTCATGTTGGCAAGTTATGTCCAAAATTATTAGGTCTAAAATCCACTATGGTACATATGTAGAGACTTAAACCTTCAATTGCAAAGACGCCTTTTGTAGGCAAAACCCAAATCTTGTAGGTTAAGTACAAGTCATTGCAATTGTTATTAAAGCATGCACCACTCAATGTGAGTTTCCACATTATGCTGTGAGATCTTGGTTTTATAAAGTGAGTCTTGATTGTGATGTAATGTGTGGTCTTGATAAATGATAGGATTTTAGGGATTTTGAATGGATGGGATTATGATACCTCATTCTACATCTAATGTGAGTGTGATTGTAATACTTATATAATCATCTAATTCATATCACTATTTAGCAGCTTGAGTTTATGTTTTTCAACCAAGTAGTTTAGGCTTAAAAAGTTGTCTAACTAATGGTGCTTAGGCTCAAGTTGTTACTATCAATACCAGAGCATCTGCCAACTCAGCATAGGTTTTTACATTGCACTAGTGAGATCTTAGTCCATTAAATAGGTTTTGATTGTGATTATGATGTTAGACTTTAATAGAGAGATAAAAGATTTGATCGAGTGAGGTTGTGATATCTCATTATACTTCTAATGCAAATTTTATTGTTAAGACTTGTACAAGAGTCTAAATGAATTATTATTAACAACTTGAATTTAAAGTTTTGAGGAACACATAATTCCAACTCGAACAACTATCGAGTCAATAGCGCTTAGGTATAGGTTTTACATTTCACGACCCACCACATATGTTGCCTTCCATTGATGTAATAGTGAAAATTGCCTCAAAGCCTATCACTCTTAGCCTTAAGCATATACTTTCAGGAATAAGGTGGACAAGATGTGAGAAGAACAAGGAATTTTCCATACCCTCAAGCCTTAACCTTAATTTTCCATACCTCCAAGCCTCAAAAATCAATTATGCACACTTTATTAAGAGTTAAACATAAAGAGTTATTAGTTATAACCTACTTATTCTTAAAGCAAACTGTTAGTTATAGTAAAAACCTTAGTCAAGTTTACATTAGCAAGTTTACTTAGCACATGGTGGCTCAACCCATTTTTAGCATGGCAAAAAGAGGCTTTCTAAGGATTAATCACACTTGGTTGGCTAGGTATATGTTTTTTGCTAAGCAAGTTAGTTAAGGGAGAAGTGGTGTGAGAAAGATAAAGTTAGGCAATGATAGTTATGGTACTGAAAGGTTATTTAATTTACGAAAGACTTGACAAAACAAGTCAATGTATTTGTCTTTAGGACCAAACCCTTTGTGTCCAAAATGGCAATGGTTAGATGCATCTCTCTCTATCAAACAAGAAACTTTGACATATGACATTAGGTTTAACTAACATTTTTAATGTTGATATTAACATAAATTTATTTCCCATTTTCATACCATTTTAGTATACAAAATAGAAGAAAATACTATCTCACCCTTGTTGTCTTAAGATTCAGACTCAAACCTCCACGTTAAAGTCTTTAAAATAAAATATTAGGTGATATATATATATATATATATATGTTAAGATACATCTATATTAATCCAAAATTTAACCTAAAGTAAAAAATTTTAACTTACAATCAGATAATATGTGGCTTTGCATTGGGTTGCTTCCAAAACGTACTTGCAGGCACTTGATCCCACGTCTACCGTACCCACTAAGGACACGACAAAACACGCACACTCGCCACCAATCTTTGCGGTTAGGACGGAAATGCTGCAAAATCTCCCATTTGTACACGTGAATACTAAAGAAGGCGAGTATAGACTTGTTTACGAAACATGGGAGTATCTCTCGTCATAGATCTTACACACTCTCCAAAAGTAAAATTATGTTTGGGAATACTGTGTATAGAAATAGAACGTGTTTGTTTCTTTTTTTTTTTTCTTCTGCCAATTTTGATTTATTTTAGTAATAATAAGTCCATTTTAGTTTTTGAAACCCATAATATTTGTAGAGTATGCACATTAACTCTGGAACTAAAATGCTCGGTATGGACATTGCGCACTACCCTTCAGTTCCAGTCCGAAGTCCAAACAATTGCAAAGATCACACACAGACACACATCACTCTCTTGCATCCCCTCACTCCATCTTCATACCTCTCTGTCTTAATCAGCTCTTGGACTTGAAGCATCTCTTCTTCGCTTTCTCTCCCTTTACCAACTGGTTAAATAGCCCCCTTCAATC